GTATAGTAATATTGGAAATCTTAGGCGACAGTTAAAAAGTGTCTGTATGTGTCGGTCGGTAGCCTGTTACATTTGAAGTTTTGCATCGATGTAGGAATTTTTCGGTACTTATCAGCTGTCCAGACTACCCAGGTTGGCAGGGCTAAGACTTGCCTTCACTTGTGGTGGGTTGGGCCTCGTTCCGTTTCTCTTGCTTGTTCCTAGCCTTGTAAGAGGTACCTGTAATTGCTCTACACTTGTGTCGAGCCGCGGATGGATTAGTGGCGATTGGGAACTGCTATTTGAATAGGAAATGAAGTGTTATTTTAAGAGCGAGGAAACCAATCCTGGTCACCTCTCTTATAACCAAGTATTTGCAGCCGGAACTCGGTCTCTGGACATTTTTTAACTTCTCCTCATGATCATATGTTGTGAATCTGCTGCTACTTTTTCGTTCTGAACTTCTCTGGTCGGACTTTGGAGATTAAATAGGAAATGATGTTCGAGTATTTGTTCCCAGCAGCCATCTATGTTCGTTAATATCTAAAATAGCATTAGTGACCCCCATTATCCAGCAATTTCTTGTCGACGACCGCCTAGAGGCGTCGATTTCGCTCGGTGAATACAGAAAAGAGTTATCCTCGGAGCCCAAGTAGTCTGGTGTATTTTGCTCCACAATCGTACTATCACAGCACGGGCAAGGAATTGCCTGGAAACAAACGCAAAACCGGACCAATGGATCTTCGGATATGTCGAGGCCGACCAATCGAGACTCATCCCTATTCGTGGCAAGCGCTGCTAAGCTCGAAACCTGTCCAGTCCTCCACCATTTGAGCTAGCTGGGAGCTAGCTGGGTCACGGAGGTGCGCCTTTTCGGTGCCGCATTAGCCCAAGCTAACGAAGTCGCAAATTCACCGCATCAGTTCGACCGTGCAAAGGAAAAGGATCATCTACTTCTCAGAACCAACTTTCATTCACCGTAAGCATCAACCACACACTTGCTACATTGGAACGAGGCGATTCGACAAATGTCACCGCCCGATTTTGTCTGGCCCGGCGAGAAACTATCTGTGGAAGAACCTTCTGCCTGATAATTATTTGCACCATGGCAACATTTTGCTGACAAGTGTCCGATCCAGCTGTCCTAATCGAGATGATATTTCGGGCATTGAAAAGCACATTGCGTTTGCGTCTCTTCTAGAAAAAAGCCATCAAAACATCAGATTAGTCAAATTCCACGTTCCCCGAAGTATGCACGCTTTTTTTCCAGAGGTTCGGCCAGAAACGAAAGAGCGTGTGTTTAAGGAGCCCTTGACAAGTGTTCCAAGAAAAGATTCCGTCACATCTCATCTCGCCCCTTAATATTAATTATTGACTTCGTTCCTTAGGGTTTTGCTTACATATGCAAATCAACTCAAACTGACGATAAGATCGGCCTTCTCTCCTCTCTCTCTCTCTCTCTCTCTCTCTCTCTCTCAATAAAAAACCCCGTCAACGTGTGCTTTCGGTCCCGAATTATCGAATGCTTTTCTTAATAAATAGGAATTTTGTTAATAAATAGGAATAATCACACGAACATTCTTTTAACTTTAATTCAATATGCAATATGATCCTTAAACTTTTAATTTATTCGATATAATCCTTAAACTTTAACTCAGTGTATAATGCGATCCCAAAACTTTTGATCTGTTCAAATTAATTTCCGAGCTATAACGTTTTCATGAAAATGTACCAAAAATTTAGAGATAATATTGAACAAGTTAAAATTTATGAACTATATTGAACAAATTAAAAATTCGAGAATCACATCGCATGTTGAGCTAAAATTCAGGGACTATTCGTGTCATTTTTCTTAACAAATTGTTGCCGGAACGCTCGCGTTTAGAAAGAGAGAGGCATTGTTTTTGTGAATGGAATTGATTGGTTGGGGGGCGGGTTGGTCAAAAATGGAAACGCAAGAAGAAGAAGAAGAAGAAGAAGAGATCTGAAATTCGCTTCCGAGGTGGGAACTACACACGTGGCGACGACCCAGAGCTGAGATGAGCGGTCAGGCTTCCCCGGGCACGAAAGTCAAGGAGCGCCCAAAAAAGATCTCTCTCTCTCTCTTTTTTCTTTGTCAACTTCGAGAGAGAAAGAAAGAGAGAAAGAGATTTATTCATTTTTATTATTTGGTGTCGGTTTTTTTTTATTTTATTTTTTGGTTGCAAAGTTTTGAGGAAGTTGAGGTGTCAGTGCAATGTACCTAACCCTAAACTAACTTTTGGTGTCGATGATCCACACGTCACTTTGGCTACCCACCCGGATCCCCCCCGGATGGATTTGTCTCCCCAACGTGCCACTCCCTCAATGGCCCGTCTCTCTCTCTCTCTCTCTCTCTGCAAAATTTCCCACGGCAAAGCCACGAAGCATGACTAGATTTTAGATCCGATCTCAATTCTACCTCCTAAGAAAAAATCACAAATTTTCACTATTATCCCGAAATCCGCTCCCACGTTAAAGAATCGCTGCCGGTTTCCTTGAAATTATTAGCGTCGGGGCTAGTAGGAGATTTTGTTATCTTGAAAACCTGCATCTTTGCCAATACTCTCTATTTCGTATAAAGCAACATCAATCTCTCGTTGTCGAGAATTTTGAAAAAACCAGAAGCCATTTCCAAGAGGGCGATGGATTTTCGAGACTAGAGTGAAAGTTGGCGGTTCGTTTAGTTTGGTGCAGAATTGAGATCGAACTTAAAATTAGGTATTTATTGGGGGGATTACGCCGTCTATTTCATTGTGCCCCCTCCATTAGTAACTTGGGAATTTTCACCTCTTGCGCCTCCGATTGATCACATTATCAAAGCTTCGATATTAGGCCATGTGGGACCCGCATGATCTCCCGAGCTCAAGCAACGAATCATCTCTAATATGATCCACGAGGATCTCGTATTGTTATTCTCATTTCAATGAAATATTAATTAAGAGGAAGGAAATTTGGTCGCATTATCTGAGGACCGACCGAATATCTTATTAATACATTTCGATTCGTGAGGTGTTTCGAAAGCTTATCTGTCTTTATGTAATGTAAATGAAATTTTTAATGATAAAAAAGGGAAAATATATTTTCCTTGTGGAGTTCCTTTTTCTCACTGACATTAAATTTTTTGAAAAAGAAAAATATCTTCTCAAGATTTTCAAATGCCTGACAAAAAGAAAAGATTTTCATTTGGAGTATTGGTTATCTGTCTTTATGTAATGTAAATGAAATTTTTAATGATAAAAAAGGGAAAATATATTTTCCTTGTGGAGTTCCTTTTTCTCACCGACATTAAATTTTCTGAAAAAGATAAATATCTTCTCAAGATTTTCAAATGCCTGACAAAAAGAAAAGATTTTCATTTGGAGTATTGGTTAATTTGTCCGAACAACCTAACGTGGTCTCCCATATCAACATATTTAGTAGGCCATTGAATTCAACAAAACAATAAACTCGTTAATAACATTGTCACGGAAAAGAGAAATACATCTATACGTGTATCCCGTAGACGCTCTTCACTTGCAAAACGATGAGTATTTGGTTAAGGACAGAAGTGGAACAAAAGTTTGATAATCTAAGAATCGCGTTAATAGATATATCCACTCAATTTTTTTTAATTGTTTAGATATTTACTCCAAATTATCCATCGCCTATATTATAATCCATGTGAAATTTGGAGCGAGGGATTTGCTGAGATTGAGTAGTTTTGACACCACCGTTGACTTTTACTATATCCTAAGCACACTGGCATAGAATCCGACTATCTAAAATCGCATGGAACACCTGCAAACCTCATAAATTGATCAAAATAAGAGAAGGCATCTTTCCATGTCTAGGGGTCTCAAGTCCAGATGATTGTCTCGTCACAGTGAGATAAGTGACTCGCCAGATGCTCTGAAAAACAATATCATTGCCAAAAAAATAAATATTGCACTTTAGGGAGGTAATGTTTCATTGCTTTTCCTCATAAGAAAACTTCTCGAGAAGTGGATATTTTAATCGAGAAAAATAGAAAGACCGATGTCGAGTATTTTCAAATTTTCTCGCGCGCCGAATTTTATTTACCAAATCACGTAGCAAGATCACATTAAATTTTTTATACAAATGGGACTTATACCTTGACTGTTGGGCTTATTCAAACACCCAATATATCTCTGCCAAAGTACACAACAAACAAAAATGAGCACATACGCATTTGCAATCCCATTTCCATCAATCGTGGAAAAATTAGTTTTAACCACCAACATAGACCGATCAAAATGTCAGATTCTCCTACAGATATGAACACCTTTTGGGATTTTCTCATATGGCAAATAAAGCTACGTGTTTCATCATCTAGTTTGACACGATACGCAAACTTTAGAATTTCCAAGCTCGTGGTGCCAACTTTTGGTGTGTGTGTACTTGGTCGGTCTCCTAGGTATCCTCTTTTTCTGCATAGGCGAGATTAGAAAAGGACTTAAGGGATTGATGTGGACGAAACCAATTCGTGCGACACCTGTCCACCCCTCCCACAGCCCCATCTCTTCTCCCTCTCTCGTGTGGATCGTCTGGAATTGATAATGATGCCATCGTCCAATCAATCTTGATTTTGCAGGGGTACCCACCGAACCAAGGGAAGGGATTCCATTAGAAAATTTGGGTCTAAAAATCGTTTCTTTACTCTCTCTGACTTTTCCCAGCGATTGAGGTTCCGTCCAGAGGCAGTGTGAACGCCGTGTCATCCTCCAAATTTTGGCGTTTCATTTGTACTTTGTGATCTTGGTTTCTTCGTTGAGTACGTGTACGTGGGCATGAAGTAAAATTCCGTACGCATCAAAGATGTTGTAATGGAATTTACGGAAGGTAGATTAGTTGAGATGCGCGAAAGTCTATCTCGTCGCCGTAAAAAAACAGCGTTTTTCTTTTCTCGTGGAATTGGGTTTGGTTTGGACGGTAATGTCCTGACTCCTGTTGTCGTGTGATTGGTGGGCTTGATCTAAAATGAAATTTGGAATAATGCGCTTCTTTCTTGATGGGGGGGGACACGTGTTCGTCTTCTTCCATTTAAAAGTCTCTGTGCTCTGCTGCGATGCAGTTTCTTTTCAATAGGTTCTTCTTCTTCTTCTTGCCAACGCCTCCCTCCTCCTCCTGTTCTCCACACGCCGCTTCAGTGCTTTTGAGAGGGTAAGCAACTTCCCAAATCTCTCTCTCTCTCTCTCTCTCTCTCTGAGCTTAGCTATTCATCTTGAGCATTCTTTATCTGGCTGTTCTTGGGTGTAGTTCAAAGGGTCTTGAAAGATTGTACCTTTAGGCGGTTATGTCGTTGATTCTTGATATGCCAATCAATCAAGAAGGTGTTTTTTTTGGGGTGATTTGATGTCTGTTCTTTGTCTGTGCTGATTCATCTGAGAGTGTCTAGATGGGGTTAAGATGAGATCCACGCAATCCGAGCCAAAACAGGAAGAAGAGAGGGAGGGAGGGAGAGAGAGACCCAAGACTTTAGAGGTGAAATAGATAGCCTCAGATTAAGGGAACCCATCCTCTGTTAAGTTTGTGTTAAGTGGCAATTCCGAAATGTTCACGATGAACCCATTTGGCATCTCTCTCTCTCTCTGTTAGCGCATTTTCTTGAAACTAAGCAGTTAGATTCCCATATATTGCTCATGGATGAAACGGAAAGTAATAATTTGAGTTAAGACATAGAAGCTTTTGGTCCTCTCTTTCTCATGGTTATGCGAAGATTCCTGTGTGAAGGAGGTCTGATATAACTTTTTCGGCCATGTGCTTTCAGTTTCGTATATGGATTTAAAATCAGATTGCGGTTTGATTTCATTTTGCTTCTCACTTCTCAGTACTTCGTTTTCTATTTTCTGACTTCTGTGTGTTTCTCTCATCATAATTTATGTCTCTCAACTTAGGTGATTCTCTAAAAGGTGGTTCAGAGATTAGCCCTAGTGAAAAGAGGCAAAGTAATGCTTTAGGTTTTTCTGGAGGGTTGAAGCAATCAAAGCTGTGCCATACAATAGAGGTAATAAATGGAGGAGATATCTTCTACACTAACTGTGCCGTTTAGGCTGAATAATATGACCGGTGATGAATCTGCACTACAAACCCAAATTGAGATTACTGGACTCAAGCTTATTGCAAGCTCTGCTGGTTTGTTGTCAGACCATCCGGGGGTGTTGTCACCTTCTATATCTGATTACACAGCTGCCCAAGATTTGAGTTCTGGCTGTAAATCGGGCAACTTTAGTGTTCTGACAGTGTCAGCTGATGAAGATGAGTCTAGAGGAGGTAATATTTTTTGGAAGACAATGGGGAATGAAATTAAGCTGCCACCGGAAGATGGGAAAGTGCACACTCCATATGCTTGCGGCCAATTTATCAATTATTCTTGTTCATATACGGTTGCTAGTGACACCACTAGTGCTTGTCATGAAGAGTTTGTACCTGTGAAAGCAAGTTTTGATAAAAAATCAATGACTGTCACGGATGTCGGTGACACAACACTTAGGAGCATTTCCAACGTGAATAATTTGGGTGAGCTTGAGCCTCGGCAAGAATTACAGAGAACTGCAAGCCGGAGTGTCTTCGAAGTGGATTATGTCCCGCTATGGGGAGTGACATCTATCTGTGGAACAAGACCAGAGATGGAAGATGCTGTTGCGGTGGTACCTCAGCTTTTGAAAATTCCTTATCTGATGCTGGCCAGCGGACAAAATTTGGATCTTAGAAATCAACATGGCAAAGATTTAACAGCTCATTTCTTTGGTGTCTATGATGGACACGGGGGTAGCCAGGTAAAAACCAGATAGTGCTTTTTAAATCTTCAGACTTCAGTTTCATTTGATAAGCATGAGAATGCACAAATGGCTTATAAAACTATAATCGTAGTACTAATTAGGGCTTTATCGGTATAGGTTGCTAGTTACTGCCGGGAAAGGATACATTTAGCTCTGGCTGAGGAGATGGAAGTTGCAAAAAGTGGCTTCTGTAATGGAAGTAGCTGGAGTAATGGAAAGGCGCAGTTGGAGAATGCTCTCTCCAGTTGCTTTCTAAAGGTTGATGACGAGGTCGGTGGTGTTTTCAGAGCCACGAATGGAAGCGACCCTTCTCTCATAGAATCTATGGCCCCTGAAACAGTAGGTTCTACTGCCGTGATTGGCTTAGTTTGTTCGACACACATTATAATTGCGAATTGTGGTGATTCAAGGGCAGTTCTCTATCGCGGAAAAGAGACCATGCCACTGTCGGTAGATCATAAAGTAAGTCATGTTGCTGGAGTTGTGTTTTTATCTTTTTTTCCTTTCATCTTTTGGTATTCCGATGAACTCTAGCCATTTCTGTGTGCACTTATTCTCTGTATGGCCTCTGAATTTATTTCTTCAGCCAAATAGAGAAGATGAGTGTGCACGGATAGAAGCTGCTGGCGGCAGAGTTATTCAGTGGGATGGATTCCGGGTTTGTGGCGTTCTTGCAATGTCAAGGGCAATAGGTAGGTTTTTTGAGTCCATGATCCTATTTTCCGCCTCTCCATAGTACAGGCCTTATCTACCTCGAGGGTGGCAATCCTTGGACTTGTATGTTTGCAACTTCTTCTAGAGATTGAAGCGCAAATAGAGGGTTTATCTCCCTTAGTCTTCAGTCGGTGTGAAAATTGAATAGCTAATTAGAACAGGGAGCTTCAGTATCCCCCGGAAGCGCCTGCGGCCCTAGACCCATGCTTTTACAAACTGTTTTCTGCACCACTTTATATTTCTTATTGCATATTATAAACAGTTGATCGGGGACTATTCCAAAAATTTGGAGTAAATCAGTGTTCAAAGAATGCACAGATAGACTGCCAAACATCTCTGATAGAAAGTGTAGGGTTTTGAACATTTGGGGTACTTGTGTGAACAATCATAGATGTAATCTGCCAGGACACTTCATTCTGTCACGCCACTTTGTTTAATCGTTGTTCTCCAGGACTCTTGCTTAACAGTTGTTCATGTAACTGGCCGATAACTTCCCACCATCTTGCTGACCTTTTTCTTTGTCATCCTCAGGTGATAGATACTTGAAGCCCTCAATCATCCCTGATCCGGAAGTGGTGTTCTTTCCTCGTGCAAAAGAAGACGAGTGCCTCATTCTAGCCAGCGATGGTCTCTGGGACGTTGTGACCAATGAGGAGGCATGTGACATGGCACGGAGGAGAATCCTCCTTTGGCACAAGAAGAACGGCGACCACCTTCCTGCAGTAAGGGGCGAGGGAATCGACCCGGCGGCACAAGCGGCTGCTGATTATCTTTCAAAGCTTGCTCTTCAAAGGGGAAGCAGTGACAACATCTCTGTAATAGTAATCGACTTGAAAGCTCAGAGAAAGTTTAAGAAAAAGATTGTACCCGAGACCCGACAGCCAGAAACTGTGAATACGTAGCTGTACGCCCTTTATATCGTATAGTAACAGCAGGTAATTCGGTTGAACCGAGTGGCCCATGCATTTGTGTCACATCGGCTTTCCGATTCGTGTTATGGAGACAAACCCCTGGTGCCAACTGAATGAAGGTGGAAACCCACCGATTAACCTCCATAGCCTTCAGATTTGAAATCTCTTCTTCATTTGGCTGCGGCTTCTTTGGGTCTATCATAATACTATTTCCAGATTCCAAGATCGAGATATGATGCCTATGCGGATAATTCGTGTGAGTTACCTACCGATAAAGTGTAAATGTCAAGCTTTCTTCATGGTATCTATAAACTGCAGTGGCTTTCTTCATGATGTTTTAGTTACCAATTTGCCATGAGTATGGAGAGTAGGACGGACATTGACAAAGTGTTACTAGCCAAATTTACCGCAAGGACTAGCCAAAGTACACGGATATAATCGACGTAACAGGGGGATGAAAATATTTGCGAATTTCTTGGCTAAGAACTGTTGAGAGGCGCAGGTTTGAAGATGTTAAATAAAAGGTTCGATGTTAGAATGAGATATATCCTAATTGGTCTAAGACTCATTTGCTGAAGTTTTACATTCAACTGAATGTATTGACATATTCGAACTTCGCCTCTTTCTTTAGCGACTCTCTGGGCGGTGTTGAAGATATTTGGACTTCTACTCCGCGTCCGCATAAAAACTGTAAATACCATAAACAAAACGCCCAAACTACAAAAAAGCGAACTAAGAAACACAACTCTATACATGAGAAATCAGACAGTTGATTTAAAACTATAATTGTGTCCAAAGGAGTTACTATGAAGAGCAACATAAACCAGAGAGTTGCAGAGCTTTGGCATTTACAAACTGAATCCAACAAAGGAAAAACCATAAGTCAAATGACGAACACCCTTTCTGACGTTAATAACACGATAAATACATCCCTCCCTGCCAAATCAAAACTTATAATATCTACAAGTATGTTCAGTAGTAGACGGATCGTAGGCCCTCCTGCTGCCGGCAGACACTACCCCAATCAGTTCAGGAATCGATTATGTTGAAGGAGAATTTCGATAGCAGCTGTGGAACTCCTGCTATAATCGGCCCATATGTCTGCACAAACAGAGATTGAACCAAATGAAATTGTAACATGCAGCAACTTGTAGGGGCAAGAAATTAGGGTAACCTACAAGATAAACACTTCAAAATCATAAATTTAACTTTAGGTGACTAAGGACATAGGGATTCTTTTTCTTTTAATAATAAGTTCACAGCGTCAGGGCATAGTAATCACCAAGTTCACAGGACAAACTGGAGCCCTTGCCTGACACAATCCTCTCCTATCCCCTTATTGGTGACTCCCGACATATGTGGTCCGGGGGGCACAGGAACCATCAAGTATATGGGTCATTCGGATTCAATCCAGATCCACGGTGGTCTGAGTTGTAACAAAATTAGTTGATCGAAATTGCTAGGCTAAACCCAGATGGTTCGTTGATCTGGTCACCCAAGTAAGAACCATGGCTGGATATCCAGGAGACACAAACCAGCCGAATTCACTCAGCAAAACCAAAATTACAAACTCTGGTTGTGGGGTGACCCACAAGGCTCATGTAAACTAGGGAAATCGTCTCTTAAGCCAAGCTAGAATTTGTAGGTCTTATTAGGGAAGGTAAGTTTCTGTGTTCAAACTTCAGGATTTCTCCGCATTTGAAGTAGAATATATGTAGTATTCCTAAAATTTACCCTCTTCACGTAAGAAATGTTTCTTTAGTTATGATTTCCGAGATCTCTCATCTCACAAGAAGAAAAGATCTTCACATATCATTGGCAACGGAATTTCATCATGTCGCATAAGAATCGGGAGGCACCTAGATAATTCGCTACGGAGATGCATGCATCTATAACAGTCGATCCATCTTGATAAAGAAATGCCGTACCTTGAGATTTTCATGAATTTGACAAATTGGTACAGCGAGCAATTTCAGGTTTTTTGGAACAATGAACTTCCGACTTACAGGTAACTTCACAAGAAAGAGTTTTGTGCACTCCTGGAAACCGGGCAACGATGAATTAGAAACTTAATCAATCTCAATTTCAAGTGAGCAGTCTCATTGATAGAAACAACCTTGGGCTTTTTAATATTAGGTGGCAAGTAAGGATAGAGCAAAGTTTCAAAGTCAGGCCTCCACCACATCCCAAGGCATTCTCCAACCTACCATTTGGAACAAAAGGTAAATTGTAACTATACAGCACGAGAAATAATGAAAATCTGCAGCTCCATGATACAAAAATTAAAAATATTATCCACCTCCCACTGAGTCTCATCACCAGCTCCATCAGCAGAAAGCTTGCTGGTCAGCTTGCGTTGCAGCCCTTCGACATCTGAAAAGACAAGGGTGACTAACTACATTTACCCATTTGAAAAAAGATGATCACTCTTCATTTTCTTCTTCCCCGGGGTATCATGGAGAATTGCCAAATTACCTGATTCACCAGGCCTTAATCGACCTCCTGGCAGCTTAAAAGTGGAATTTCTTACTTGCAACAGCAACAGATGAGGATGTCTGAATAATTCAACCTATTTTAGAAACATCAGGATCCTTAGAATGTGTTATAATCCATCGGCCTTTCAAAGGAAAGATGTAAAATGGCATGAAATGCGATAATACAGGTAGATCATAGAGCGATTGCATTAAATGACATATATCCACCAAATTTTGTCTACCTTCTTAGTATTCCTAGCATTACTCATCCAGGTAATGAATGCAAACATAGATATATGAAATTAACATAACGAACACGTTCAAGATAATCCCCATAAAAATTCTTAAGAAGTTGCTGATTGTCTCTTCATATCATTTCAAGGCAGAATATCATCAAATGAGAACAAAAGGCATTAGTTGCTCCCTTTCAGAAATGCATTTTGCCTTCACGGATCACAACCCAACACTGCAGAATACTCTATCAAATTTACAACATCAACTCTGGTTTGCAGTTTCCTCCAAATGCGAATAAAAACCATAGTAATTGAACTTCAATTAGTTGTTTGGCTAACATACAAGCATCCCCTGGACAGCAATCCAGCAATTCGCCTTCCAGAGTTAATGTAGATCACTAAGTAAGCATTGAGCACTAAGCAGTGGAAAAACATATCGATACACAAGATTATCATCATTCCTGCAATTTGAATTCACCAAAGGAGTCGACATACAAATGCAACCATACCCATGTTCATGGGACTTATAGTATGCCATAGCAGGCAAAAAGGCAAGAGTAACTCGTAGAGTCTAGTCAGCTGCTCAAAGAAGGAGAAGAAGACAGAAAAAAACACCAACCACAATGACGGCTTCCACGCAATTCCTCAACCCATGAGCCGCGTAACTGAACAAAACCACGACAGAAACAGCGAAGAATCAAGATCAGCGACACGACCCACTTCGATCGAGCAACAAACAGGTACAAACACCACGAATACAAGAGGCGCGGCACCCAAAAGCAGAGAGACGGGGAGAGAGGGAGAGAAAGAGAGACGTCACTGGGATTTCATCCTCTGGACACGATCGGCCAAGGTCTCCTCCTTGAAAGCAAGGGCGTCCTTGGACCCGAAGTAGTAGCTGCTCAGCGGATATATGTCCAGCACCCGGCTCTGATCATCGCCGCCGCCGCCGCTGCCGTCGCCGTCGGCCGCCGCGTGATCGTGCGCGCCTTGCATGTCTCTCCCAATGGAGTAGCTACAGGAACCCAGAGACAGAGAAGCCTATGAAGAAAGCAAAACCCACACAGTAGAGAGAGAGAGAGAGAGTGGGGAGCCGTGGCTCTGTCTAGAGAGGTGTGGAAGGAGAAAGTTGCGAGCTTCCGATGGTGCAGAGCGAAGGGGAATATATAACGACGACGATGGTGGAGTCAAAAAGATCGCTTGAAGATTCTACAGAGAGAGAGACAGAGAAGTGGCGGCTACGGTGTACTTCGAAGTTCGATGCGCACATATGGAGGTGGCGAATTGGTGGAGAGTGGAGACCACCGCCAACAGCCGGCATGTCGGCAAACGGACAAGAGGGTGGAGCCGAAAAGTATTGGGTTTGGGATTCGATTCCCGCGTGCACTGCACACGTATGTATATAATAAAAAGGAATGAGATAAAATAGAAAAACCACCAAAATCCAAAACTTCACATTCATGACATATATTTATCGACATTTTTTTGCATGAAGCCGATCCTTTGCCATGACACATTTACCCCAATGTATTTAGTCCACGGGCATTTTTCGCTTTTTCTTTTTTTTCCTTTCGCGAGGGGGCCTCGCCGGCTTCGCCCTTGGCGGATCCGGCGAGGGGCCCTCGCCGGCGTCGAGCGAGGGCGGCTCCTCGCTGCATCCGGCGAGGGCGGCCCTCACCGGCTGCCGGCGAGGTTCGCCTCGCACAGGGCGAGCGAGGCCGCCCTCGGCTGACTGCGAGGTCGACCTCGCCGGCGTCGGCGAGGGTCGACCTCGCCGAGTCGGGCGAGGCCTCCCGCGCCGGATCCGGCGAGGGCCGCCCTCGCTCGGACGCCGGCGAGGTCGACCTCGCCAGACGGCGAGGGCCGCCTCGCTCGCCCAGCGAGGGCGGACCTCGCCGAGGCCGGCGAGGTCGACCTCGCCCGACGCCGGCGAGGGTCGACCTCGCCAGACGGCGAGGGCGGCCCTCGCTCGCCCGGCGAGGGGCCCTCGCCGGCGCGAGGCGGCCCTCGCCGCCGGCGCCGGCGGCCCTCGCTCGCCTGGGCGAGGCCCCTCACGGATCCGGCGGGAGGCCGACGCCGGCGAGGCCCTCCTTCACGGAAGGAAAAAAAAAAAAAAAAAAAGAAAAAGCAGAAAAGACGAAAATGCCCATGGACTAAATACATTGGTAAATGTGTCACAAAAAGAAAGTCGGGTTTTGCCACACAAAAAAGTTCTAAATGTGTTACGTATGTAAGCAAAGTTGGTGGTTTTTTCCCTAAAAAATAAGTACTCTATAAGTCCTAAAATTTATCAGGAAAGTGCAATTGAATCCTAAAACTTTCAAAAAATGCGATCAAGTTCTAAAACTTATCGTGAAAGTGCAATCAAGTCTTAAAACTTTCAGCAAGTGCAATCAAGTCCTAAAACTTATTACGAATGTGCAATCAAATCCTAAAACTTTCAAAAATAACAATCAATGGAAGGACTTGATTGAACCAATTTGACAAGTTTTAGGACTTGTTTGCACTTTCGTGACAAGTTTTAGGACTTGTTTGCACTTTTTGAAAATTTTAGGACTCAAGTGCAATTTCCTAACAAGTTTTAGGATTTAATTGCACATTATGAAAGTTTTTGGACTCAAGTGCACTTTCGTGATAAGTTTTAGGACTTTGAATGCACTTGTCCAAAAAAAAAAGGAACTTGGTGGAGACTCGAGACCCGTTTTTATGGACTTGTGGGTGCTCTAAATGTTCGATAGATTTCGCATGACACTCAATTGATTTTTTGACTTTTTCACGTATAATGAAGACCAAGTAAGCTCGGAGGTGCGTAGACTTGTCAAAAGGAGTCATAGACCAATTTCTTAACCCATTTATAGCTGGCTGATTGTTATACTTAGTAAATGGGTCATAAATGGATTTAAACATAATATGTATGTTAAATGGGTCGTAAATGGATACAATCTACCTATATAACTCTCTCTTTATTATCTTTCGTCCTTTAGTTAATCTCACGCTCACTCACACTACACTCTCACATCAATTTATGTATGAGTTTTCTAAAATTAGGTTAAATACATGAGTATTTTAGTAATATGAGTTTGGTATGGGTCGGGTTGAGCACGAGTCACTAGATGTTGCATTGCATAAAAATGGGCCAAGACATGTTAAATGAGTCTATTTGGGTTGGACCATTTTCGGTCCGACCCACCTCTTTGATAGGATCTTATATCTATCTTCTATCAACAAGTTGCCAAGAGGAAATGAGAAAACTAAACACAACAACAACAACAACCCTCCGCATGATAGGATGATTTCATAGAAATTATGGTTTATTGTTCCGAACGAAAATTCCTTTTACTACTCGACGGGACCGGACAACACGGCACGCCCTCCTGAATTCAAAAACCGACTTGATTTTAAAACTTCCGGCGCCCTTAAGTCCGCATAGTCGTTTCGATTATCATTACAAATTCCTGAAAGATCAAATTAACAAAACTGTTTCCGGGTCGTTGACGTGGGACTACACTTTGGTCCAGTGAGCTTTACTTGCTTCCCCCTCTAGTAGGAACTTAGTAGGAATTTTGTGGGAGTAGTAGGGTTGGCGGTCTAGTGCCACGTGGAAGCTCCTAGTCGTGCCAGCACGAACATCAGCTTAAAAATATTATTTTAGAAAAAAAAAGGCCAACAGAAATGAAGTGACCAATTGGAGCTTGTGGTCGGTTCGAGGTCTATCCAATTTGCCGGTGTTTCCGTCAAAGGTTTGACCCGGCGGTTGGCAGTTAGTAGTTAGTCACCTTCGTGGCTAAGCAACCGATTGCGGCGGGGCCCACTTGGGCGGTTGTTGATGCGGTGACCGTCGGGTGGATCCTAAGTAGATTGTTCCTAGGATCATGTAATGATATGTTCTTATCGCCCTTCGGGCCAGCGATCGATTCAATGCATTCTTTTCTCGTTTGATGATTGATCGGAGTTATCCATGCCCGTGAAAATCGGACGATTGAATTCTAAAGTACGTATATTGATATTGAAACATCGTTTGCCTTTCGCAACGTTAGGGTTTACATTTCAATCGAGAGACATGGCTCGTGAGAAATTCAATTGGATTTGTGGATTGAAATGCAGTATCGCGAGATTATCTATCCATTCTAGGGTCAAGTCGGAAATTTTTTCCCAAATGATGTGATTGACCGATTTTAGTTGTTTCTTTACTTCATAATGATGAAAATTTAAAGACGAACTTGAACTTGGAGAGGAATGAGGATTAAAGGGAAAGCAACTAGGTTTGTTTCGCTAAAGCTTGATTAATATGTATTTAACAATCGAATTACAAGTCATTTATTAAGGGAAAAACTAAAGCTTGATTAATCTGTAGTTGATCTCAAGGCGCGACTTGCCGTTTGCATCATTAGGGTTTAAAACCTGATCGAGGAACATCGCCCATGAAAAATTAAATTGAATTCACGGATTGAGACTTGACGTATGCATGGTACAAGGAAGTTTATATATCGATTGGCAAAATCGAGAATGTGGTATCATGAGATTGTCTGTCCATTCCGAGGTCAAATCGGAAATTTTCCCCGAAGTAATGTGATTGACCGATTTTAGTTGTTTTTTTACTTCATAATGATGAAAATCCAAAGAGGAACTTGAACTTGGACAGGAATGAGGATTAAGGGGAAAGCAACTTGGTTTGTTGTGCCAAAAAGTTTGATTAATCTGTAATTAACCATCGAATTACAGGTTATTATTGGTGAGGAAGTGAGTCATTTTGTGGGTCCCGATTAGCAGGTGAAAATGGGCTTTCACCATGATTACTCCTCATTGAAGAATTCATGGCAGGTAATAGATGTCATCATCAATCATGTAGAGGCTGCGAAAATTACTTAATTCTTTTTTGCTCTTGTTATTTTCACCTTTGAAATACTTGAATGGTCTAAAATAATCCGCATTGAAACCTTAGAAAATAACCATGGATAGTTAATTGGCACGTCGGTTATTGAGACATAGTGTGAAGTACAAACCAACCAAGCAAGAGCCGAAACTCCCTTGCATCATTTCATGTACGGGAGGCTACTATACTTATTTATCCGGCGATAGCCAGTTCAAATTGACGTGTAGTCTACCTTCCATATCTGCAGGCCCTTCTGTTCCCTCTCGTCGTTTTTCTTCCCTAGAGAGAATGAATACGGAGTGAACTTACATGGAAATCCCTCTACCGTACCGTGGAGTTTCTTCCCCCGTCTCCCCTTAGCCTTTTAAGGACCTGCTCAAGTCCAAACAAAGATCGATGAAAGAGGAAAAAAATGTACATTCAATATAGATCAATCAATATAATTATTTTTATCAACCTTTCCCAAATCTTCGTTTCTTCTTCTTTTGTGTTTAAATCATAGAAGTTTACGCGTTTGTTACTTTTTTTCGAGAATCACTGGAGATAGAGTGTTTTTAATAAATTTAATGACCGAGATTCTAATGTAAAAAGATATTGTTTGCACCAAAAAATGTCCAACTTTTGATTTTTATTTAGGGATAATTCCAAAAAAGCACCAACTTTAGGTCGAGGACAATTTCGGCCCGAACTTTTTTTTGTTCCATAAAAAGCATCGACTTTAGATTGAGGGACAATTATGGCCCGAACTTTATTTTGTCCCGTAAAAGCACCAACTTTAGGTCGAGGGACAATTCGCTTGAACTTTTTTTGTCTCGTAAAAAGCACAAACTTTCACTTAAATCCCAAATCTGGCCCTTATTGACTTAAAACCATTGATTTTCCAACTTGACTATTCCACCTTAGCAATAAATTCACGTGACTTGCTGACTGGATTTAAAGATTATTCATTGTCTTATTCTCTAAACCACAAGCTGAAGAATAACTGAAACCGTTATTTTCCTTCACTTCACCGCAAGTCAAAAATATCTCCGGATTGAATCTTTCTAGCCAAACTTCGTCGTTTTGTCGTAACGGGCCGTAGACCACCGCCCGTCGACCGACGCCATGGAAGAGATTCGCTGTGCTCACCACCATAACTTTTTTTCTCAAACAAGGGTAACTTCGGATAAAATCAATGGGGGGCCAAATTTAGGATTTAAATGAAAGTTAGTGCTTTTTACGAGAAAAAAGTTCGGGCCGAATTGTCCCTCTACCTAAAGTTAGTGCTTTTTATGGGACAAAAAGTTCGGGCTAGAATTGTCCCTCGACCTAAAGTTGGTGCTTTTTATGGAACAAAAAAGTTC